GGGGAGGGAAGTGCACGGGATTATGGTGATGGCACACGGGTGACTCGGTGATGGGAAACCCGCGGGGATTACAATTGAGATGGAAAAAAAAATGTACAAAATGATGTAAAAATAAACTGTTATAAAAAACAAAACAAACAAACAAAAAAAAAACAAAAAAAGAAAAACCTCCACCACGCCACAATTCTGAACCATACGTGGGGAAAAATGCCAGCGAGCAGAACTCACTATACCAAACAGACTGGGGATCTCCGGAGAAGGGAGCGGAATATAAAGATGTGCTCTCTGCCTCCACTATCTGGGTCACTGCGAGAGCGTGAGGAACAGCTCTCAGCTGGGATGTTCTCTGACAGCAGCCAGCCCTGCTTCTCAGCGCCACCCTCCCACCCTCCCCGGCCCCAAGCCTGGCACCTGAGCAGCCCCGTGACGCTGGACGTGCCCCTGTCCACAATCCTCAGCACCTCCCCGGTGCGGCGCCCCAGGTGCCAGCGCAGTGACAGGTCGTGCAGGTGAGAGAAGAGGCGCAGCTCCACCCGGCGTGACGTGAACTGCTGCACCTTGATCCACAGGAACGTGCGCAGGTTGCTCACAAAGCCTGGGGGTAGTCAGAGGAGGCCTCGGCTGGCCGAGGGGCTGGACAGCACCGACACGACTCTCGGAAGGAAGGGGACAGCTTGACACCAGCCGGGGTAAGCGTAGAGATCCACTTACCTGTACTGCCAGTGCCACCCCCCTGGAGGAACTTGAGGAAGACGTAAGTGGTAACAGTCCAGGCTAGGGAGCTCCAAGGTGCCTTCTCAGTCAGCAAGTTCACTATGGAGAAAAAGAGGCAAGCACTCTGGAACCTAGGACTCCAGAGAAGCGGCCCCCGGCGCCAGCCACTGCTTTTCCCTACCACCCAGCTCCCAACTCCGTCCTACCTTCCTCACTCGGGGCCCCCACCCACCAGCCCACGGAGGGAGTGGAGTGCTGGCACTCCTCCTGCTCACCTATGTCCCTATAGAAGATGGGGACCAACACATTCAGTCCCCGGTCCAACCCCATGAGCCCCAGGCAGATGAGCACCACGAGCTGCAGAGATGGACTCCCCCGTGGCCACAGGTAGCCACTCAGGAGGCGGAGCTTCCTGCCAAGGTCTCGCCAGGTAGACCGAGAAGTCCTCTCTGTGGAAGGAACCTAGGATGGTGAAATACATAGAGGAGGAGAGCTCAGAAATCAAACAGAAGTGCATTTGCTGGAAACTCTCTAGGAAAAACATATGGGATTACAGCTCCCAGGGTTCTAAGTCCCTTAAGTGATCTCTGAAGGGATCAGACCAGCTAAGTGTGTACATTGAGATTTGAGAAAGTGGCAGTTTATTATGGTGGCAAGGAATGATAACAGGGAATAAAATTAGCAGAAATTATAAGGTTCAGAAATCAAGATGTACCTGGCTCCTTTCTACATCTTGATCCTCTTCATTCACCTGTAAGGTGTAGGACTGGGGGCGAAGTCCAGGGGCCCAGAGCCCCAGGATAAAAAGCCCTCCAGAGACCACATACCTCAGCACCCACAGGCTAAACTGAACCTAGAATGAAACAAAGGATATTAAGGAAGGCCAAAAGCCTATTGCTATTGCTTGTAACAGGGCTGGGTCGCTGGGACGGTAAGGCACACACACCCAGGTCCTCCTCTGGGGCCCAGCACATAATAGATTAAAAAAAAAAAAAACCACAGTGACTCAGCACAGACTCTCCCCACCAGCTGGCTATCAGCTCCCAGAACTGCCGGCCCCTCCCTTTTTCCCTTTCTTACAGGCAACCCAAAGTGTGGAGCCAGTAAAAGCAGACATGCTATCTGTCTTCACAGCCCCTGCCACCAATGCTTCCCCTCTCCCTCCAGGTCCCTCACCTGCTGGCCCAAGTTTGCCCGTGCCCACCACCACTGTGGGTTGTTCCAAGATATCAGGGCCAAATTCTCCGCTGCAAACGCCACAGTCCAGAGGAGCAGGAGGCCTGGGCTGTGCCTGAACTTGATCCAGATGCCCATTGCTAGCTTCTGCCTCGCCTGTCTCCGTTCCACCACAAGCAGCCACAGGCCACAGGCGCTGGCCAGAGTCTTCAGCACAGCGGCGAGCAGTAGATAGCCTGGCAGTGGGGACCCCTGGGCAGTGCCCATCCGACCAGCCAGGCTGGCTAGTGGGAGCGCCGACTGGAGCGTGGCCAAAAGTAGCTGCAGCCCGTAGGGAGCCACGCGAGGTCCGGCCCCCCAAGACAGTGCATCGGCGCCACCAAGACGCTCCCGACGTTTGCAGGGAAGTGCCAGCACCAAGGCCAGAGTCCCCAGGGCCATCAGTGTCGAGGGCACAAGCGTGAAGAAGAAGCAGGGACTCAGGCCCCCCTTCGACCAGGCCGGGCCCAAGGGCCCTTCGGCCTCGCAGTAGTTGCCCACAGTCACCATGGTAATGCGAGACCGCCCGCCAAGGCTGCGGGCACTGCGGGACGGGAAAACCTGACCGGCAGCGCGGGGCGGGGCGCGGATGCCCAGGTGTCACGGGTCATGAAGCCCGGGAGCGCTGAGCCGCAGGGGTCGCGGGCCCGGACGCACGTGGACCCGACCACACCGCCCACTCGCTTCGCGCACGCGCCGCCGCCACGCACTCACGCAGGGTACGTACACTGTCTCCGCCCGTCCGCCCGTCCGCCCCTGGCTGGCGCCGGGGACCCTCCAGCCAAGTGCCGGCACGCCGGAATGTTCAGCGCCTGGCTGGAGCCGCACTTGACCGCAGCAGCCCCCGCCCACCAGGGCCGCCCCCAGCCTGTGTCCCGGGTCCCCATTGGCCACGTCTCCGAAGGGGTGGGGGAAAGAGGTGCACGCGGGGAAGGCAAAATACTGGGGCTGAATCTGCCAGGTCACGTGCTCAGAGCGCGAAACCTGACCGCACGTCCGGGTGGAGTCCTTGACCTCCACGGAACTAAGGGTCAAAACCGGCCCTCCTGTTACCTGGCCAGCCCCGCGTAGACAAGCTGCGGCTTATGCCCAGCTAATAGGGGGCCCCGCCCTGTCTCCAGCCACCTGGGCCGCTCACGCACACGCCACACGCCGCTCCAGGTATTCCAGAACCCCAAGCGCGCAAGACAACAGCTTGACCAGGTCAAAGTCCCTTCTTTATTAAGGGTTATCAAGCTGTACACGGCCCCCACCCCGCTCCGCTGTGACTTCCGTGGCAGCGCCCGTTCTCCACTCACCGCTAAGGACCAGAGTTGGGTGAGGGGTGAGGCGGAGGGTAGGAGCTGGGTCCCAGCATGCAACGCGGCAGCCCAAAGCCCAGGGCGAAACCGTCCAGTTGCCCCTCCATCCCCCACTAGGGGACAGCGGGATGCCAGCCAGAGCTCTCCTACTGGGAGGTAGACAGCAGAGGGCACATTCCAGCCCTGTCCATCCCATGTGCAGTGGTTGGAGGTACAATAAGCAGCATTGGGGGGCAAGGAGGCCTCCGTTCGTTCCAGGGGCCGATCCTACCCTACAAGTTGGAAAGGGCAGCAAAAGACTTCCATTCTGTTCCCGCAATTTTGAAACCTTCCTTCTTAGTGTCAAAAAATAGCACGAAGGGAGCTGGGGGGCGACACGCCAACGCAAAGCAAAAGCTGAACAGAACGGAGCAAGCGAACACACATGCCAGTGATGTGCGGGGAAGCAGGAGAGAGGAGAGCAGGCTGCAGCGCTGGGAGAGAATGAGGGTGAGGTAAGGGCCGCAGCCTGAGCTGCTCATCCGTTCAGGGTGGGGGGAGGGCACTGCAGAGCTTGAGGGTCCAGGCCCAACCTCCCCACTCCACAGTTGGCACAGACTCTCCCTGCTTGGCAGCTTCTGTGGCAGACAGTCCTCGGTAGATCTGCAGGGTGGGTGCAGAGGTGGCAGTACTGGGGCTGGGCCGGGGGCCAGTTTCTAGCACCACACTCTGAGCCAAGGGGGGGGTCCTGGAGGTGAGGCTAGAGTCCTGTGTGCCCTGGTTCCAGGCCCCCAGTTTCTCTCCTGGGGCTGTGGCAAGCCCAGTGTTGGCACCTCCCTTGGCCAGGCACGGACACACAAACACCACACGCGTGGAGCTAGGCAGCACTCAGAGGAGCCCTCCATGGTGGGTGGACGGGATGGCGGGCAACGGTGGCCACCATCCTGGGGCAGAGGGACCCTCATCAGCCTTGTCTATACCTGCGGAGAGAAAGGGGTTGGTGGTGTGAGTCTTCAGCTATGATTGGCTGACCTTCTGTTGAGCCTAGAGGTCAAGGAAAAGGAAGCTTGATTCTTGGGGAGGTAGGCAAAGAAAAACCCAGCCCTGGACATCAGGTAAGTGAGGGATGAAAGGAGTGTGTGCTTCAGAGCACAGGAAGCCTCTCTTCACATGAGAAGCTTTGACAGCTTGGAAGCAACAATTCTGGCAGTTGTTCTGGGCCCTGAGCCCTTACCTTGTGCACCTGGGGAGGAAGCTCATCCTCCGAGCCCTCCTCGGGCACGGGCTCTGGGTGTCTTGATGCCGACTGCCCGTCTTCAGCCCACCCTCCAAGGGGCAGCCGAGAAAAGTGAGAGGGAGCTCGAGGCACTGTGCCGGGGTCTAGAGAGGCAAGTAAACATCCTTTATAATGAACACAAACAGGACTGAGAAGGGTTCCGGGCTGCTGGAGGAGCCCTCGTCGAGATGTCTCCTGGACTTGATCCCTTTGACAGCTTTCCTCCCTAGAGGCCCCACGCCCTTCCCTGAAGGCTCCCCATGGATACCTGTGATGCCCCCATAGCGCCTCTGGAAACCCCCCTGGAGGGCAGTAGTCTCAGGTGCTCCAGGCCGGGATGCAGCGCAGGGGTAGCTGGCAGAGCGGGGGATCAGCTGAGAGGCCCGGCCGCCCTCTCCCCCTTCTTCAGGCGCACTCTCCCCACTCTCATCACTCTCCCGACGGTGCCAGACGTGCCGCTCGGGTTCGGCCTGCGCCTGCTGCTTGTGGAGCTGACACATGGGAGCAAGTTAGCTGGGTGGAAGGATGCCTGCCACCACAGTCCCAGCTCTTCCCCACTTGCACCGCACCACCTGGAATCCATTACCCAGAGTATCATGGAATCCATTACCCAGAGTATCATGTCCACGGTATATAACGTGCACATGGTGTTTTACAGGTTAAAATTCCAGCAGATCCCTTGAACAAGCTTGCGCAGAAACTGTGATGAATCTCACCTTTGCCTTCTCGTTTGATTCAAGAATAAAATGGCTGTGGATCTACGTGCTGGGCATTCGTTTAGGCACAGGGATATGGCAGAGAACACGAGAGACAAAGTTCCATCCCATGTAGGGTTTAAACACTGGGGCCAGAGTTGGGTGGACAATGAAGAAATAGGGGGAAAATACCGTGTCAGGTGGTGCTAAATGTGGAGAAAAATAGAACATAAAGACTCAGGAGGGTGGACGAGAGTGCAAGGGGGTTACCCAGGGTGACCAGAGAAGGTCAAGGAAAAGGTGAGAGCAGAGAGCTGAATAAAGAGAGGGAGGGTGAGGCAGCTGGGAAGCCAGAGGTGGAGAAACTTTGGCTATCAGAAAGATGGGGAGGGCGCAGGTGGTAATGGAGACTGAAGATACATGGCAGCGAAGGGCCCCAGGCCCGTAGCTGGGTCCTCGACAGCTAAAACCCGCTGCGACTTTGCAGCTGCCGCCTCGGTGAAGGGGCCCCGTCCACTGACCTGGTGCATGTAGAGCGCGTGCAGGCTCATCTCGGTGGATGCGTACTCTGACAGCACCAGGCTCTGCAGCTGTCCTTCCCACACACTGCTTCCGGAGCTGGCCGTCCTGGCGTCCACTCTGCCCCTCCCAGCACAGACAGCGTCGTCAACATTTGAGACCCACACAAGTCGTTGGTGCCCTCCCATCTTGGCCCACCTCTACTCACCCAGAGCCTGTCATAGTGTTGGGAGCCCGGCCTGTGGGAACCTGACCAGGTTGCAGGGGCGAGAAGGAGCGCAGGGCAGAGGCAACTTCAGCCCTGTGCCTGGAGGCCTGGAGGTCTCTGGGCAGTGGGGGGCCCCGGCAGGATGAGCCAGCTACCACATTTGCAATAAGGCTCAGTGGCTATGGAAGAAAGGGGTAGGTAGAATTCTCAGGAGAGAGGAGGGTCCTCGAGGTCCCCTCGTAACCTGCGTGTCAGAATCCAAGGGCACAGACTGGACAGACAGAAGCACAGTGCTGGGGCAGCCCTTCCACCCATGCCTGGCCACTCTTGGGAGTCCACCTTGCAGGTCACCTCCCAGTCCCCAGAAACATACCTCGGACTCAGACTGCAAAGATTGGATAGATGTAAAAAGGGCGTTTTCAGGGAGCAGACCCCCTTGGGCGAGGTTAGCAGCTGCTCCATCCCGCTGAACCTGCTCCTTGAGGAAGCCTAGGAAGGCCGTGCTCTCCCGTGGTGGCTGCCAGCCAGGGTTGGTGATCGCAAAGTGCATGAGTGACAGCTCCGTCTTCCCGTCCTCGGCTTGCTGGTACACCGAGGCCTCTGTCTGCCCGCCGGAGAGCCACTGCACAAGGGAAGCTGCAGTGAGCACCCGTCCCCCCTTCCAGCTAGGGGGAGGTCCTGCCCCTAGAGCACAGAGACCACAGTGCACTGCCGTTATCTTGTCCAGAGGCCCCATGCCCACCCCAGGAGTGGCCACATGCTGGGCTAGTTGCTTTCTCAAGGGAGCAAGTTTGGGACTAAAATCCAACCGGCCCCTGCTTATGAGGCAGCGTGTACCCTGGCCCAGGTCTGCCCAGAGACGGCCTGCCCTTTTGTGATTTGTTGGCCAGCGGGGACACCTTTGTGCAGTTTGCCCAAAATACTATAGCGTCACCTCCGGCCCTGCCCTCGCTCCTCTCCCAGTATTTCCCAGTACCTGTGGATGTCCGTGCTGGCGAACATCCATCTGCGCAAAGGAGCAGGTATCTCCAACGCCAACGACCTCCACGGTGAAATTACGGAAGAAGTCTATAATCTCCAGAGCTCGCGGGCGCAGGCAGAAGATGAGGATGAGCGGTGTCACAATGGGGCTCAGCAACTCCTCCAAGATGAACACCTAAAAGGGAGGGGGCCACGGTCACCAGAAGCAGGGGGGCTCCCAGCCCTCACCACCGAGCTATCGGCCAGTCTCTAGCAGGCCCTAACTCCAACTCCACTCACTGCCTTGTACTGGAAGAGCTGGGCAAACTCGTCCCGGGTCTGCGAGCGGTGGGCATTACCCTGCCAGTGGTCAGGCATGTAGTGGATGTGAGCGAGGATCACGCGGAGCAGCTGCTCAGGGCAGAACACCATGTGCTGGTCCGGGATAAAGGACCTAGTGGGAGCGGGGGCAGGGTCAAATGGAGCCTGATCCAAAAGGCTGGTGGGCTTGCCCCCCGCCAGCTGCCCTGGCTCACCTGCACACAGTCACAGTGACCCCCAGGAGTGTGACTGTGGTGAGCACGTGTTCCACAGCCAACACATCTTCATCATAGATGGTGAGAGCGATGAGCACAGCCAGGATGGAGCCGGCGAAGAAGGCACCATTCTTGGCCAGCAGCGTCAGCAGAGGCGATAAGAAGCAATTCATGTACTTGGAGGCGGGCTTGTAGCCGCGACTGAGGCGGGACTGCAGCTCGTGCTCCAGCTCGTTGAAGTGGCGGAGGTAGCAGCGGCCATAGAGTGACCAGCAGCGCGCTCCCAGGGCCCCCGGCTCCCGCTTCAGCACCTCGGCGTAGCTGAAGAAGGCGTAGAGGATCTGCCAGATGAGGATGAGGGGGCACAGCAAGAAGTTAGCAATGCCAATCCACAGGATGCGGTTGCTGAGGCGCTGGGCCAGCTCCAGCCGTTGCCCCCCGCGTTTGTACTCGGCCTTGAGGCTCCACTCATTGAGAAACAGAGAGCCGGGGCCCCAGAAGAGGATCAGCTCGAAGTTGTACTTGAGGCCACGGGTGAAGAAGACAGCCTCCCCAAGGCCGGGCAGGCGGAAGCGCAGGGGCAGGAGGGATTTGTTGACCAAGGCCACCATGTAGTTCTGGAAGCGGAGGATGCGGTGGTAGATGTCCAGCTCTGTCAGCTCGCGCTTGTGAATGCAGATCTGGTGCTCTTTCTGGGTCTGGACAATTCGGGCCTGCACTTCCTGCCATGTGCAGTAGGGAAGGGCAGACTGGGGTGGGGAGAGACAAGGCAGAAGGTGGGCTTGTGGCCTTGGCCCCTCGACCTGCATTAGATGTGAGGCTCAGGGGTCCTGTGCTTAGCTGAGTGGCGCCTTTAACCAGAGGCTCCCTCCCTGCAGGAGGATGCCTGAGGCCCAGGAATGCACCCCAGCCCTCCCAAGCGCAGAAGAGCTCTGGGCTGGGTGTAAACCGGCTTCCCTGTCTCACCATGGGGATGCGCAGAGCATGCAGGTAGAAGGAGTGGATCTCCCAGTAGCAGCAAATGTTATAGATGAACTTGATGAGCCGGTGGATCCAGAAGACACCAGCGATGACCAGGATGGTGATAAGAGAGCCATTTTCTTGAATCCTGGAGGGGAAGGGAAAGGGGTGCCTATGAAGAGTCTGGGTTGACACGCTGCTCTCCTGAGGGATTTGGTGAGGCTGAGCCCAAGTCTCTACTGTAGATTTTGCGTTGCTACCTCATACTCCACCACTCTCCAACCCCACTACCAGAACTACCAGCTCCGGTGCCCGCTGACCCATAGCCCTCACCTGGCGCTACAGACTTGGGCAGGTAAAAAGGCATCTGGCAAAGTGACCTTAACAGGCTCAGTAGGGTGAAGGCTGTGGTTCACCATCTTGTTGGCAAATAGGATGTCGTAGTCCACACAGCTAACCAGGAAGGTGGTGAAGGCGACCACAAAGAGGAACTGCCTGAGGAGTCGGGAAGAGGGTGAGGAGTCAGTCAGAGAGGGCCAGAGAAATTATGTGGAAAAATAGGAGTATGGAAGCAGAAGAAGAAGACTGGGGAACAGCCTCTAGGGAAATGAAAGAGCTGGAGAACTCCCAGTGGGTCTTCTCTACTGTTCAGCCTCAGGTCTAAACCGGGTCCTTTTGTTGCTCTAAGTCTCAGGTGCTGCAGAATGGCCTGCTTTCTTCACCTGAGGGTAACCTCTGCCCCTAGGTGTCTGATTCTTCTAGGGGTCTTATGATTTTGATCTCTGATCCCCAGTTCCCAATTTTCTTCTGAGATGGTAGTTAGAAGCCCTTTGGGGATTTGAAGTCTGATTAAGGAAAGATTTCCCAATCTCTTCCCCTTTGGCAAGGTCACATGGCTTCCTCCTAGAAGCTTCTCTGCCTAGCAGCAGGCTTCTACAAACAAGGCAGAATGGAGTGAGTGGGTCTGCGATTTCTGACTGAGCCAGGTCCATTCCAACAGAGGTCTGATGAAATGATCCTGTCTGAGTTCTCTCCGTGGAACAGAGAGGTGAGGCTGTCAGTTCTCGCGCCATATGTAAGTTCTGAGCCTAGGATACTGAGGAGCACTGGAGGTCAGGGGCGAGAGCAAGGAGAGTCGAGACTGAGGTGCGCCTGTCCCACGCCATCTCTCCCTTTTACTTACATGAGCTCAAAGATTTCCCCGATGAGCATACAAGTGAAGCCATTCTTCTGATGTAGATTATAAACGTGTAATTGTTAAGAAAAAGTGGTCAGTGGAGGCTGCGATTCAGAGCAGGGTGTTCTGTGTCACACACCTGTCACAACTTTCTAGTTGGGTGACTGGGGACAAATTACTATCGCTACACTTTTGTCTGCAGTGGCATATTGGAAAATAACGGCACTTGTCTCACAGGCTTCTTAGGTCTGGGATAATGCATGTAAAACAGTTAACACAGAGCTGACACAGAATAAGTTAAAAGACAGTAATTATTAGGTTGTTAGCATCCCATCAAAAAGGAAGATCACCCTGAAAGCGGTCCTTTATAGATGAACACCACAAAGTTCAAGGCACATGGTTCTTGGTAAACGTGGGTACTGTTATAAGTAATGGCAAATAAATGGTTTATTTATTTATACATACCATCCAGCTCCTTCCACCTGCAAGATGAACTCCATTCCCCTTCTACATATTAGAGTCAAACCCACCCAATTCCCATCAAGGACCTGGTTTACAGAGAGGCTAAAGGTCCCAGAGCTCCAACACAGAGATAAAGGATATTCGAGAGAAGAAGAGGTCAAGGTTTTCGATGTGGTGCCAAGGTGCTGTAGGCAGAGGAGCAGGGATGTCAGAGCACTGAAGGACGGAAGCCCCACGCTCCCTCAGAATCCCTGCATCTACTTTCCTCCCTGCCCCAGCTCTGCCCCCTACCCCGCTACAGCCTGTCTGCAGTTAAGTCCAGTTGTCATGTCCAAGAACTCACACTTGCTCCCCTCAGGGACGTGCACCAACAGATCTTCCTCTCCAGGGGGTGAATCGCTGTAGGAAGCCTCTAGGCGCTGGTATTCAGTGTCGAACTGCGCCATTACCACCACCCCCTGTCCACCTTGTCCACCTGCCAGGTACCAGGAGGAAGAGACCCAGGTTCAGAGCAGGTACCACTCATCTGCTGCCCTGACTACTAGGCCAGAAGGAATGAGAAAGAATCCTTGGACTTGGTCTCCGTTACTGGTCTTCTTGGCTCAAAGGCAGAAGAGGAGCAGTAACCTTTCCAGAGCAAGCTCAGGGCTTGGGAGGCCTTTATTGACCAGTGAGGCCGGTCATTCCCAGGGCCTTTACTAAATGTCTGCTGAGACTTGGCTGGCCTGAAGCCAGACTCTATCCTGTTGAATGGGGGAATGTTTCATCTTCTGTTCTGCAGAGAGAAGGGTCCCTCCCCCTACCCTCCTGGAGAAACCTGGTCTCCCAAGAGATGAGGAGGTTGGAAGCACTTTGAAAGCAAAGACGTGAGTTAAGTGCATGGCCCTACCAGCTCCATGGACAGTGTCTGCTCCACTCCAGCCCTCGATGCCCTGGCTCGGCAGCTGCTGGAGGAGAAGGTGTCAGGTCCCAGAGGTGGGGAGTGGGGACAGAAAGAAACCCAACCGTCTCCCTCTCCCTCCCCCAATGTCCCTGAAGAGGAGAAGGAGCCTGGGGCCCGGGAGGCTGCCTGGGAAAGAGGCACCTCTCCAGCTTTGGCTGTGTACACTTGCTCTGGTTGTGCTCTACAGGATCACAAGCCAGCTCTAGGGTTCCAAGTAGCTTACTGAACCTGTGACAAGGGAGTCAGTGTGGGCCTGAAGTCTGGGGCTCCTTCTAGATTGTTCCTCCTTTGCCCATCTTAGCCTTAGAAATTATATAGGCTTCTAGGGTCCACAAAGCCCGGGACCCCAAATCTTGAAAAGGAGCTTTCCGGCCAATTCTTTCCTTCGCTTTCTTAGCACCAAAGAACCAGCAGGCAGACACAGTCCTGACTGAGTCAGAGTAGACCCCAGATCTCGCATAAACCCTGGGCTTCCCAGGTCTCTGGGGCCAAGCGCGGTCTAGGTGGCACATGCCAAGTCAGTACAGACCCTGAGGGCATGATACTGGCCAAGCCTGGTCCCCATGAGACTCCCTGCGTTGGTGAGAGCCTCGGGTCCAGAGGAGCTGACCAAGCCTTCAGGAAACTCACCACTCACCAGCTCAGCGCGGACTTAGGGCCCATGGAACCCAGGCCGTCTGGGCCTAGGCTCAGGGGTTCCTGCTGATGTTGGAGAGATGGAGCCAGACCTACAACTCATACCCCAGTTGGACCGGGTTGCCTCCCCATAGCCGGCCGCCACCTCTCGAGTCCAGCGCGCCCCAAGGGTCGCCCGGCGCCAGGCCAAGGGCTCGGCTCCCAACAGCGGACAACCTCGCGCGCGCCCCCGAGGCTCGCGCGCGCCTCCGCCCGCGCGCCCCCACTATCAAAACATTCCGGCTGCGCGCCCCCACCCCGCCCGCGGCGCCCCTTCCCCGTTACCCGCCGCGAGCTCACTCAGGCCTCCGTGGGCACCCCTGATCCGGCCCGATCCGGGCCCTTGAGATTCCAGTAACCAGTCTCGCGTTTCACCTCAGGAACGGTGACCCGGGTGATTCCAGGGGCTGTGTCGGCTCCGCGGGGCTCAGCCCGATCCGGAGCGCTAGGCCTGGCGTCTGCCACTCACTGTCACCCGCAACCAGCCTGGCCAATGAGCTTCGGAGGGTGGAGACAGAACGGCCAATTCTCGGCTTCGGGGGCGGGACGAAGTGCCGAGGCGGGACTTGGACGGTCGGGAACCAATGGGGTGTTGTACGCGGGACTGGGCGCAGGTTCGGGCAAGGCCATTTGTCCTCTGCGCTGCGCCGTAGTGACGAGATTGTTGTGGTGTTGCTGGAATCCGGGCTTCGGGCTGTGGACGTGCGCGGCGCGAGGCTCCCCGGGACTTTGGGCGCCGCTTCCGACGCCTGGGGTGAGTTTGGGTAAGTCAGCGGGTTCGGGAGCCTCTGATTTCGCGTAGTCGGGTTCGGCGTGGGAGCTCGATGACGCCCGGTTTCACCCACGTGTGGTCTGAGTCTGGGGCTGAGAAAGCGGCCTGGGGCCTCCTGGTAAACCCTGAGCGGACTCCAGGTAGAGGCGTCCTGCGGCAGCGGGAAGACCAGGTCCGCCCCGCCGGAGACGCGGCAGTAAGATCGCGTTTTGTTTCTTGTTTCTCTCCCCCATTCTGCTCCAGGAGCTGCTTCGAAATAAATTTTTTGCCCAGCCATGTCGCCGGCTCCAGCTCCTGCCCAGGCTCCAGCATTGATCTCCTTGTTTGACCTCCACACGGATGCTCCGGTGTTTCAGGGCCTGAGACTGGTGAGCCGCGCACCCGAGGAGGCTCTGGCCCAGGCTCTGAGATCTTCCTGTCCAGGTATCGGGGAAGGTTTGGGGTAGATCCGTGAGAAATGTTCAAGGCGCTTTGGAGTTGATTGCTCCTCCGGGGAGCACATTCCCACAGGTGTTCCGCACGGAGCCCACTTTGACAAGTCTTTCTACTGGATTAAATGTGCCTTAATTAAATGCCTTGGTCTCTTTGTTTCCAGCACAGGGCCTTCCATTGTCTCCAAACAAGTTCCTTGCCATGCTTATGTCCTATCACATTAAAGCCGTCGTCTGCAAAGACACTTCAAAATTCCAAGTCTTCACAATTACTAGATTTAGTCCAATTATAACTGGAGTACCATCACGTCATTCCTTCTCACAGACTGTATAACAGTTTGTTATTGGCTTTATTCAACGTCAGTCTCTGGGTGTGTTTCTTATTATACCTTTTATTTATTTTCTACGTTTCAGATCTTTATTAGTCAGTGTAAACACCAGCACAACACACTAACGTGATTTTTGTGCACTCAGAGGGAATGTATTTCCCAGTTAAGTAGGAAAGTAGTGTGCCCGTGGCTTCAGGAGGGTCTTCATTGAAGCTGCTTTATAGTGAAACATTCATTTGAAGTCTGGACCTTCAGTTTGCTGTCATTGACACTCACAGGGTAGAACTTGTGTTGATCATTAGGAACCAGTTTGTTCCAAGTTCTGGTTTATTCGTTCTCTTCCAACTGACAGAGAAAGAACAGTGTCAGGTGCATGACACACAGTGCTGCCCTGATGTTTTGGCTGCAATAAATGCAAAGCAGTGGTGGTGGTGGTGGTGGGGGCTGGTCAAGCTAGCATGCTTGTTGACCTGACCAAGGATCTGGAAGGGCATGGTTGCAAGAGAGGCCTTGGGCAGAGAAGGAGAAGAGAACAAATCTGCAAGGCCAAGGACTATGTTTCTGCCTTGTATTTCCTTTTAAATAAACTACATGCTGTAATTGGAAGTGTAAACTAAATATTTAAAAAGTGGCACTTGGGATTTGTTTCTTTTTAATTAAAAATATATTTTAAACTTACTAAGAATTGTGTTCTCCAGAATTCCTCTAAACAGCCCCTTGGTTAATTTAAATGTAGTGTTTGATTTATATTCCTTCATATCTTTTCAGAAACGTATTCATTATTTTAACTGATTGCTGTGCTGTTTACTTCATGATTATTAGATGGTAAATTCCTTGAAGACAAGCACATGCCATCGCTTCCTTTTGTATCTTCTGCTTGCTATGTTAGACACTGAATGGAAGTAAAGACACTGTAAACTTGGATTCACTTTCTACCTCTAACTCCCCTTTCCTTATTTAGATTCAGAGGAGAGATCAAGCCCAAAAAGAAAACCTCTGAATATTTCAGAGAAGTTATTTTGCTCAACCTGTGACCAGGCTTTCCAGAATCACCAAGAACAGGTAAAAATCTGGGTACAGAACTAGGCAGTAGAAACTTAGGCCCATCCTTTGATGAAGAGAGTTGATTACCTTGTCTGTCCTGCTTCCCAGAATTCTGTTGCTGGGTGTGTGGCTACCATAAAAGACCTGGCTGGGGCATAATTCCACATTCTGCCTCCCTCTTTGTTTTCTACCAGAGGGAACATTATAAGCTTGACTGGCATCGATTTAACCTAAAGCAGCGTCTCAAGGACAAACCCCTCCTGTCTGCCCTGGACTTTGAGAAGCAGAGCTCGTCAGGTAATGGCTCTGGGACGCGCCTTGTGGGAATAGTACATGGTAGTGGAGGATCACGCTCATTCAGCAACGCGGGGAAAGCACAGAATGGGGCCTCAAGTTTGTATGTCTCATGTTGTTCTCAGGAGATCTTTCCAGCATCTCAGGATCAGAAGACTCAGACTCAGCCAGTGAGGAAGACTTACAGATACCGGATGAGGAGAAGCCAGAGTTTGAGAATTCTAACCGACCGCAAGGCTTCCACCCACATCGGGTTCTTTTCCAGAATGCCCAGGGCCAGTTTCTTTATGTCTATCGCTGTGTCCTAGGCCCTCGCAAGGCAAGTGACAGTGTAGGTCGTGTTGTCAATTCCAGCCATTTATAGACTAGCCTGGATTTCTCCTTAGCCCAATCTATTTCTCACTTCTTCCCCTGCCCCTTGTGGGATGTGGATAGCATACTTGATGGCACAATCTTGAACTGGCCTGAATCGTGGAGGAGTCAGGTATGATAGAATTAAGTTTGGAAAGAACCCATCTGGGTTTGAATTGTGGTTCTGCTGTTTGATCTGGACGGTCTCTACAAGGTTCAGATTTTGTTATGTGGTTGCACTATATGATGATGCACATGGCTTCTTCTCAAGGAATGGAACAGAGTAACGTTGGTGCTGCACCTCTGTCATCCAGGTGCCGGCAGAGGAGCCGGAAGTGCTGCTTCACAACCTGCAAAGTGGAGGTCCCAGGTGCTGCGTGGTGCTCATGGCTGCGGCTGGGCACTTTGCTGGTGCCATTTTCCAAGGGTGAGAGGGTGCTGCATGGGGTGTGGGTGGAGAGGACCCTGTTAGCTGGGGGGTAGCAACTGACTTTCCATACTGAGTCTGTGTTATCTGCAGAAGAGAAGTGGTGACACACAAAACTTTCCACCGCTACACGGTGCGGGCCAAGCGGGGCACCGCCCAAGGGCTTCGGGATGCCCGGGGGGGGGCTTCTCGCTCTGCTGGAGCCAACCTGAGACGCTATAATGAAGCCACGCTGTTTAAGGTGAGTCGGGCCTCCCAGATCTTGGTGGTCCTTCATCCATACTCTGTTCCTCTCAACTCATGAATATCCCAATGGATTGACTTATATTTGTCCAGTCTTCATTATTTATGGGGAGACGAGGGTAGAATAGGGATGGATCCCCAGGAGTCTTCATCCACCCATTTTGCCTTTCTCTCGTATCTCCCATTCCCTGCATGTAATGTGGGCCATTTCTTGGTTAGACATTTAACAATGGCAAGAGGAGATATTAGGGCTAAGTTACTCTCTTCTCCAGGATGTTCGTGACCTGCTGGCAGGGCCAGGCTGGGCTAAGGCGCTGGGGGAGGCTGGGACAATACTGCTTCGTTCACCCCGCTCTGGTCGGTCCTTGTTCTTCGGAGGCCCTGGGGCACCCCTGCAACGGGGGGATCCCCGACTTTGGGATATCCCCCTCACTACCCGCAGACCCACCTTCCGAGAGTTACAGCGAGTGCTCCATAAGCTGACCACCTTGCATGTCCATGGTGAGCTTCTGATCCAGATCCCAACTCCCTAACCTTCCTGCACCATCCAGCCCAAGTCTGGTTACCATTTGTGCAACTGGAGGCTTTCTAACCCTTGGATGGCAGCCCAATTGCACTTTTAGTGAGAGAAATGTGGGCTGGCTTCTCCTCAGCTGAAGTTGAGAAGTGTCTTTTGTTTCATGCAGGAGAAGATCCTCGAGAGACAGTCAGGCTAGGCTCACCTAAGATCCACTGGAAGACAATGAAAGAGAAGAAGGAGGCTATCAAAGAAGAAAGAAAGATCCCCGGTGGTGAAAGCGAGGCACGGGAGCAGAATGAGGAAGCTCCTCAACAGGGTTTGAGCACTCTCTGGCATTTGTCAAATCTCTGCTTGTCTGGCCTGGGGGGTCCAGTGGCACATCCCCTACTCGTGTGTAACGGACCTGCTTCCCTCTGTATAGAGGGGCCCTGTACAGAACACACTAGCATGCATCTGTTTGCAATGTGGGGCATATGGCAGCAGTCACTGAGACAGGTTTACTGACCTGCCTAAATCTGTTATCTCTTGTTAATGTTACCTCCAGTCCTTGGGAAGTCTTTGCACGAAGATGCTTGGATGTAGTTTCACGAACCTCACATGGCTTACCTGTTGTACTGGATGCTCTGGTTTGGGGCTCGCGGTCGCTTTCCTGGCTGCAGATGTTTGGCCTGCCTGGCCTTCACTGCCCACATGCTTTCCTCTGGACATCCGCCTAAGTCTGCTTATAGAGGAAGTCCAGGGACATTGTCCTCTGGGTGGGCCTGTCTGAGGGCTGAGAGCCTCACTTCTGCATGCGACACTAAAGGATTCAGCTTGAGATATTGAGTAACAAAACACAAACACTTGAAGATCATCTGGACTATCTTTATCTACATTCATAAGCACTAGAGCAGCCCACATCTTTCCACCCTCTGCTTATCCTTTAGGTGGGTCTAATATGCCCAATTTTCCCCTAGGGTCAGGGTCAGAGGATGACTCCCAGGTGGAACTGGAACTAGTGGAATTGACGCTGGGGACTCTGGATCTTCGTGAGTTTGAAGTGTTGCCCAAGCGGAGGAGGAGAAAAAGAAATAAAAAGGAGAGAAGCCAAGACCCAGAGGCTGGGGCACTGAAGACTCCTCCCCAGAAATGTCAAGACGACAATGCCTTGTCACAGTCGCCTCAGGCCCAGGCAGCTTCTTTGGGCTCCTCATTGGATGAAGCTGGGGCCCCTCGTCAGCCAGAGCTCTGGGACATGCTTCTAGCTGCTTGCCGAGCTGGAGATGTTGGGATGCTGAAGCTGCAGCTGGCGGCCAGCCCCGCGGACATGCAAGTCCTGTCTCTGCTCAGCGCTCCTTTGGGCTCCAGCGGTTTCACACTCTTGCATGCAGCAGCTGCAGCCGGGAGAGGCCCCGTGGTTCGTCTGCTGCTGGAGGCAGGTGCTGACCCCACTGTGCAGTAAGTAAGGATCCCCACGTCAAGCCCGGTGGGGGTTAGAGAAGATGAGCTAGAGGCTAACGTTGACTGACTGCTGGACAGTATTCCCTTTGGTCCAGGTGGGTGATGCTGGGAAGTGCAGGTAACAAGCGGAACCTTTTCTTTTTTTTTTCGCCCTCACTAGGGACTCCCGGGCCCGGCCACCATATGTGGTGGCAGCTGACAGATCGACACGTAATGAGTTCCGCAGGTTCATGGAGAAGAGCCCAGATGCCTGGGACTACAACAAGGCTCAGGTCAGCTGGCAAAGGAAGCAGAGTGGGACGGCACCACAGAGCCTGGGCAGACCTCTTCTGCTTCCCAAGCAGTTTGTACACACCTTACACTTTGTCCCTTCCTTCCCGGGAATCCTGCAGGTGCCGGGACCACTCACACCAGAAATGGAGGCACGGCAGGCTTCGCGCAAAAGGGAGCAGAAGGCTGCCCGGCGGCAACGAGAAGAACAGCAACAAAAGCAGCAGGAGCAGGAGAAGCGAGAACAAGAGGAGCAACAGCGATTTGCTGCCCTCAGTGACCGTGAGAAGGTGAGGCTGGAGTTTTCTCTTGCACTGTAAGTTTTCTCAGAGGTCTCATGCCAGCCCCCTGCCGCTGTCACCTGTCGGAACCCTCACCCACCACTGGTGGCTGGTCCTTCATCCAACTTCTTCTGGCAGAGAGCTCTGGCTGCAGAGCGCCGACTAGCTGCCCAGTTGGGAACCCCGCCTCCTGCGAGCCCCGGCTCTGCCACGATCAGCGATGTTCGGTACGTGCCTGTGCGCGTGCTGGGTAGAGTTTAATGTTTGTACAAGTAGAATGAGTGCCTGCATAATGTTCAGAGAGACTGTTTACGATATTTGAGATGTTCTTGGGAGTAAAAACCTTGAGAGTAAAAACAGAAATGACAGGAGGAGGGACTAGGAAAGCTTGGGCTGGAAAGTCTCTGGGCTACCTGTCCAGCCATTTTTCTTCCTCTTGTTCAGACGCTGCTGGAGCTGTGGGACATCCCTCCAAGGCCTCATTCCCTTTCACTACCTAGACTTCTCTTTCTGCTCCACACGCTGCCTCCAGGAGCATCGCTGTCGAGCTGGGAAGTCTTCTTCCTGATCTCACAGAACTAGCTGGGCCAAGTCTAGGTTCTGGGGCACATCACACTGGCCTGAGTTTCTTCTTCCCCACAAGACCAGAGCGGGTGGAAGAGAGGGTGAAGAACACTCGGGAACCAGGGCAAAGTCAGGGCCACAGAGTATGTGGAGCTGGTACTGTCTCTGGAACTTTAATCACAATAAAGTTTGGCAAGGAAGCTCACTTGTACTTACTCTCAGGCCTTTGGCCTTTGGTTCCTTATGGTCACTGTGGCCAGCACCAGGGTCCTGCCCACTCCATGTCTCGGGACCAAGGGTTAATGGAATTTCATTCAGTGCCCACTTAACTCCATTGGTTCAGGGGTACTTTGTGTATCATCTGAGAGGGAATAAACGAATGTCCTGTGTGAAGTGCTGTTGAGGATAGGACTATCTAAGAATTGGATTTGGGGGTTGGGAGGCGCATTTTCTAGCTCCAGCAGTATAATTTTGTTGAGGCCTCCCCGAACAAACAACAGGGGTCTGGGCACATAGAGGGTCTGTTGTGGCCCCCACTTCGTCCAGTAGCGGCCCAGATTAAACCCATTGATCCAGACTTGGCCCTGGGGAGGGAGAAAAAAGGAAAAGCAAGAGTCAGCTCTCAAGGGGGTAGACTCAGCCCCTTTTAGGTTTCTGATCATGCACACATCATTCATTTCTGCCCTCACCCACCCACCCTGACCACCATCAGCAGCAGTACCTTGGTCCATCCGGGTAAAAAAAGAAACGTGTCCCCGCCTGAGCCTAAAATTGGAAATGTTGTGGAGTAGAAGGTGGGGCCAGAGGGAGTTGGAAGAATTGGTGTTTTCAGCAACTGGAGGGGATACCACCACTTGGCAAGCTTATCAACTTTCAGAGGGTACATCAGCCACTGCGTAAGGACGGTTTGCCCTAGAATTGGAGGCTCTAAGAGGCCCTGTGAAGAAGGCAAATGGAAACTCATCAGTCACTAAACTCAGAGGTCCAAACTGGGCTCTGCCAGTACCCCACAAGCCACCGCTCCTCTGGAGACGCTAAGGACATGGCTCCTAGTATCTTCCACTAGGCCCCACCTTCCGAGGGGAGTTTGGTCAGTAGTGGTACAGGGGCTCACCTTGAAGTCACTGCTGTTAGAGCCAAAACTGAGCCTCCCCATGTTCTCCAGCAAGACATCCAGTTTGGCACCCATTTGCCCAACCAAAAACAGTTTGTGTTTCATGTTTCGTTCCAAAACACCGTGAAATACCTGTGGGTAAGAAGTGGGATCTATCAGAAGGGCTCAGCATGTAGCTCGCTGCCACACGTAACAGGAAACCATTCGGACATTTACTCGGTGGACAAAGAAAGGTGGCCCATTTGTCAGTGCCCCACCCATCTTGCAACTGTCCTTAGTCAAACTCCTCACCCCGCTTATCCCTGGACTCCCTGCAAGGATGCTGAGGAGGGGAAATGGCAACCTGGATTAGGTCCTCACCCCATCTACCAACACATAGGCACGATCATGGACTCCGTTGTTTGGCACCCAGAATTGCGTTGGCTCAGAAACAGTATGGGGCAGAGAGGTCCGGTACAACATAAAGCCACGGTCCTGGGGTGGAAGAATGAGTGCTTAAATGAACTGAGAGGTGAGAGCAGATCCTGTGGGGAAGGTGCATAGCTGGAGGGAATCTTTGGCTAGAGGTATTGAAGATTGCCATACCTACTGGATGCAGCTTTATGCCTTACCTGTTTGACAGCTTCAAAAGTCATTGGCAAGATTGAACGGATGGGCCCTTGGGGGCACAGGAGGTCTAGGAAAGCCAGCAAATCTCCATTCTATTAGCATAAGGAGGTGGTATCAGAATGGGAGGGAAACTGCAGAACAGAGGGCAGGGTAGGATGGGCAATATAGAGAAATAAAGGGATAAAATGAGAGAAAAGATGGGGAGGAGCTTACCGGGTGCAGGATCAAAGGTCCAAGCATCATCTTAGGGCTGGGGGGAGGTAAAGGTCCCAAGGGAACTTCCTGGAACTGAGCCCAAATTCTCTCAGGAGCCATAGGAAAACCATACAAACAACCCCTATCCCAAGAGCCTAAAACAGGATTCTTAACTTGGGGCCCAGGGAAGGGCTTCAGAGATCATGAAGATGAGAAACTTTTGCACACACCTGTGTGCGTCACCCCAGGTAGTCCCATTTGGGCAGGCAGTGCTTCCATGGGATGCTCAGAGGACTCTGGCCCAGACAATCACCATGGGTTTATGAGGTCCCTTTACAAACAAACCAGGCACCCCCCGCAGAATAACAAAAACCTCTGGTACTTAATGAAGTGGTAGGGCACCTTGCTGATAACATTTCGAAGAGCAAAAAGCTTAGGTGTGGGGTCCCCTGCTTCAGATATGGGTGCGTCGTAGTCATAGCTGGTAGTAATTGGGAGGAAGCGTCCCTTCTCATCAGCACCTGGGGTCAAACCAATTTAATTTAATTAATTGAACATCTTTCTGATGATGGACACTAAGCAAAGAAAGAGCTTCATGCAAAGGATTTTGCCTTCAGAGGACATCGTGGTGATCAGCTCCAACTGCTAGACATCCTGATCCACCCAGTACTCAGATTCTAATCCCTGTACTATGCTCTACTCCCACTCCAAGGGCCATCTGGACTCACCATTCCAGTATCCAAAGTTGGTACCTCCGTGGAACATGTACCTGAAGTGGGGGAGGAGGGAGGAAAGGTAAAAGCTAACTCATTGAATCTTAGCTTTCACCCCCAGCACTCAACTACAGATTCATGTTGTCCCCCAGTATCTCCAGTTACATGTTCACACTGGCTCCCAGCTGCAGCATTTTTTCTAGTCCTTTGGTTACAGCTGGGATGGACCGAGTAGAGTGATTCTGGCCCCAGTAATCCAGCCAGCCTGTGTAGTACTCAGAGTTCACCTAGAGTGAAAGTGAAAGGAGCCATAAGGGAGATGGGGAGGCACTCCACCCATTCCCATTCCTGCTTCTTGCTTTCACTCCTACTGGCTTCTCACCAGTGGTCCACTGGGTTCGTACTTCCGAAGCAGGGCAAAGGTTTTGGTCATGTTATCAGCTACAGAAAGGAGGCAGAGGTAAACGATAAACATCACAGAAAAGGTGCCCCTTCCCCACACTCCACTCCACTCCTAACCCTTGCTCAGGAGACCTGGGCCAAAATCTACAGTGGTGTAGAGCCCCTTGAGGGTGCCACATTTGAGTCCTTCAGGCCCATCTGTGGTGAAGAGCAAGATCTCGTCTCCTAGCAGTGCACGAAAGAGCCCAGCCAGGTGCCTCATGTAGTTGAAGTCACAGGCTCTGTAGCTACCATATTCATTCTCTACCTGCCAGGGGAGAGGGAAAGAGCTCAGCTACAAGGTGCAGAAGGACTCCTGGCATGCCCTCCCCTTGCCCAACAACTTCCCAGCTGTACCTGAATGCTAATGATGTTGCCCCCGTTGTGGTAGAGCCATGGAAATATCTTGGGCAGCAAGACCTTGAACCAGGAATCCACTGCAGCAAGGAAGTCTAAAGGCAGGAGCAGTGCTCTTCTCATTAGGGCACCCCCGCCTCAGTATCCCGGCCCCCGCATCAATGCAGCAGCTTCAGTGCTACCTGTCTGGCTGCAGTTCGTATCCCACTGGCACCCAACTGAGTCTGAGCAGCAGTGACTCTTGTCAGAAGAAATTCTCAGTCCTAAGCTCCTGAATGTTTGCACAGCAATGGCATTGAACATAGGAAACCATTACAAGTTCCTGTAAATGGTTTGTAAATGTCGAATACACATCATATGAAGCTAACATGTCACTGATGTACACCTGAGGTCGCTATGTAGTAGCATGGGAAGTCAGAGAAATGTCGAATGTCTGACCTGTACCCTGATGGAATGGAGAGTTCAGGTGATTTTGGTCATCAATTAAAAGGTCACGGCCTTAGATTAGGTATCATGCCCCAAGTTCTCACTTGAGAATTATCTCATTATTCCCTCTTGGTTTACCCCACTCAGGAGTGGGGGTCTTTTCTGCTGGGCTCATTTGCTGCATCCCTACTGCTGGCGAAATGCCCAACAGCAGATCCTCGAAGACAGGTTACATGAACCCAACCAAGCATCGCTGGGTGGATTCTGCAGGAAGACAGGGAGCTGCGGAAGGAAGGCTCGCACAGGAACACGCCTGAGGTGGGTGAAGAGCCATGAGGCCAGTGCGAACAGTGCGAGGACTGGATGTCAGGAGGAGACTGGCCGATTAGGGAGGACTGAGTGGACCCTTTTAAGGACTCCGTGGACCATATTCTGATGAGGATCGCCTACAGACGTTTACATAGAGAAATAACAATCTGATGCACACTCACATGTTTCCTACAGACTTAAACATTTTAACAGGATCACATTGGCTACTGTATTGAGAATAGACTACATGGGAGAGGGGCAAAATAAAGGAAATCAGGAAACTTTAAATCATCCAGCTAAAAGGTGTGGTCTGGAGCAGGGTGGTGGCAGTATGGGTGCAGAAAAGTAGTTGAATTCGGCATAATTTGAAGGTAAAGCAGATAGGATTTTCTGTCGGGGTGAATGTGGGGTGAAGGAAAGAAAGGCATGAAGAAGAAAGGCCACAGTGTTTCGCCTGATTGAAAAATGGAGCTGTCGGCCCTCCCCGGTGGCGCAGCGGGTTAAAGCACAGCACTGAGAAGCTTAAGCCACTTCCGCATGAGTTCGATTCCCGCCTGCCCCGGGGGTGGCCACATGGCGTGGCAGACCTTTCCTGACCCACCTGCTGCTCCCCTCAGCAGTGTACTTCGTAGATCTGCCTGTTCTGCTCCCCACTCTGTCTATGATGAAGCCTCTCGCCACCCCTGAGCCTCTGGCCTGTACCCCAGTTCTGTATGCATAAATAAATCTTTAAAAAGAAAAATGGAGCTGTCATTGAGGAAGACGGGGCGATTGTAAGAATAGCAGGTTTAGGCGGCAATACTAGAACTTAGTTTTATCATGGTGACTTTTCGATCTCCAAATGCAGAGTTCAAGTAGGTAGTTGGATATATGTGTTGGGAATCAAGGGAAGGTCCTGACTGGTGATATATATTTTATTCACTAAGTACTAGGTAGACCTTAAAGCTATGTGAATGGCTGAGGTCATCTAGGGAGTGAGTGGGCAGAACAGAGAAGCATCCACGAATTAAGCCCTGAGACATGGCAGCATTCAGTAGAAAGGGAAACGGAGAACTAGTGAGGAATGGTCAGAAAATTGTAGAGGTGGTGTCATGGCAGAATGAAGGGCGTTTCAAAGGGCAAAGTGCCCAACTGCTGAACATTCTGATGGCTCAGAGGAGCAAGAGGCCTGAGAACTCATAAGGAGTTAGCGACGAAGAGGTCACTGGTTTTCCTGAGAAAATCAGAGAATTACATGGCAATTTTGTTGGTGCTTTATTATTGATTTAAAAGTATTTCATAGTCATAAAGCTCTCCAGCACCCTAAGAAGTATAGGTATAAGGCATTTTGGCAGCACCAACTATTTTAACGGTATAAATCAGGTGAAATCATTCCCTTATTCTAATGACCTCCTGTTTGCAACTCCTTGTAATACTGGGCATCTCAGAGCTTAATTAGGAATTTTATCTCTTCTTTCTCCACGCTCTCATCCCAGGTGCTGTCTCAGTACACTTGGATTCAACTGCCATGTCTAGACTAGTGACTCTCACTTGATCTGTAGCCCGGACCTCTCCCTAAGCTCTCTGCTCACAGATCTTCCTGTTGCCTACTTAATAGCTACTAGAGTGTGATATAATAACAATCTCCCCCAAAATTGGTCCTGTTGCCACCCTGGCCTTTATCTTTGCTATGTCAGCAAACACCACCACCATGTTTTCTGCCAGAAACTCAATTCCTTCCTTCCCAGAGAAGATCCTACCAACAAAATTTATCAACTGGTCCTGCTGACTTTTCTCTCCAACCTAGATCTCAATCCTGCCCTGTTATTTTCATTTCTACCATCACCTTAGCCTAAGAGCTATCATCTGCCATAGCGGCTGTAGTCTCCTAATCAGTTTCTCCATCCGCCACCTTGCTTGCCTCAACACTCTCCACATCCATGCTAAGGTAGTCTGGAAGAGAACCAGATCGTGTCCATCTCTGATTAAACTCAATAACTTTCTGCCATACTTAGAGTAAAATGAAGCTCCCTTACAATGGACTACAAGTTCCTTCACCTGTCTCCAGTTTCATAGTCCTCTCTCTCTCACTCACTGCCCCAGCCAGGCTGGCCTTAACCATGCCATATTCTTTCCCACTCAGCCGTAGAATAGACATATACTTCCAAAATACAAACAATGATGAAAGTAATGTTACCTATTAAAAAAAGAAAAAAACAACCTGCAAAAATCAAATAAATAAATAGACTTTAAAAAAAAAAAAAAGAATAGGGCCCTCCCTGGTGGAGCAGCGGGTTAAAGCATAGCACTAGAAGCGAAAGCCACTTCAGCATGAGTTCAATCCCCACCCTGGAGGCAACCCACATGGCCCAGCAGACCTCTCCTGACCCGCCTGCTGCTCTCCTCAGCAGTGTACTTCATCAGTTGGCTGGTTCTGCTCCCTGCTCTGTCTCTGGTGAATCCTCTCACTGCCCCTGTACCTCTAGCCTGTACCCCAGTTCTGTATGCATAAATAAATAAATCTTTAAAAAAAAAATAAAGCACTGTTCCCTCCCCCTGGTTATTCTCACCTCTCCTCATATGATCAGTGGCCTCCCTTCCTGAGCATCAGTTGAAATGTTACCTTCTCAGACATTTCTCTCCCTAACCAAGACAATCTGGTATTCACTATTTTAACTCCTGTCTGTGTCTTGGGGTGGTATTTTTACATTCTGCAATAATTTTACAAGTTAAAAAAAAATCTGTATCTGGGCCCTCCCTGGTGGCATAACAGGTTAAAGTGCAGCACTATGAAGCTATCAACAGGCACCATAGCACGAGTTCGATTCCCTGGGCTGGGGAGGTGTGACAAACCTCTCCTGTCCTACCTGCTGCTCCCCTCAGCAATGTATCCCAACCAATCTGCCTGTTCTGTTCCCCTCTGTCTCTGGTGAATCCCCTAGTCCCCCACACCTCTGGCCTGCACCCCAGTTCTTGTATGCATAAATAAATTTTTTAAAAATTGTGTCTTCCATTGTAAGTTCTATTGCATAGAAACTGGGGTCTGTTCTGTCTGGTCTCTTAGTTTCTAGCATCCTTCTGGGCAGGTACACTTGAATGAAGAGTTCTGATTTGAGGGTGGTCTCTTCTATTTTGGCCACCCAGGTGATCCATGTTGTTATTGGCGTGTGTATTAAATCTTTCGTCTCAACTCACCTGGATCTGAGGTTCTCAGGTGAATTTTTGGTTTTCGTAGCAACCAGGATGGGAGACCCCCCTAAAACAAAGACAGCAAAGAAGTGGGCAAGTTTTGTTGGTGTGGAGTGGAGGGCAGGAGGCAAGAAAGAGGGAGGTGAGGTGTAGTTCTGGAAGCAGTCCCAGAGTGTGGGGAGATAGGAATAGTCTAGGAATCACACATGGGTGGTTTTGGTTCTATTCCTCCTCCACCTAACTCACCATCTCCCACTCTGCACAGATGTAAGGTCCTGGCCTCAGTATGACCAACAGGTTCGCTAAAGATGCTTCTTTCAGAAATGCAATGAGGTCCCGGCTGCCATTAAAGTTATAGACCCCAGGCTCTGGCTCATGGTAGTTCCAGGGCACATAACTGAGGAAGGAAGAGGTTAACAGGGCCCAAGGCGGGGAGTACTGAGGTGGCACAGAGGGTTAGGGAACTCCAGGCTACCGTGGGAGGGAGGTCCTGGCCCGCCCTCTCCCATCCTTTGCTTGGAAACCCTGAAGTTTATAAACGTTCTTCCCATCCCCATCCCCTTCGTCAGGGGGTGGTAGGAAGAGTAACCCACCCCTGTGGGGCGCTTGGGTGAGCATTTCTTACAACTGTATCGCGTTAAGGCCCGTCATTCGCATCTTGAAAAGTCGGTCAGCCCAAAGCACCCGCGGTACCCGAAAGTAGTGCAGGCTGCCAGACACGTAGCGGAAGGGGACCCCGTCCAGGAGGAATCTGTCATGATCTCGATCCACTACAAACGACCGAGTGTCTGCCTGCAAAGGGAAAGAAGAGCTCCGCAAAGGATTTGAGCCTGTGTGTACGTCGGGGACGGGAAGTGGGGGTTGGGGGGAAGGCGGAGGAGGGGCCGGAGACACACAGCACAGACCAAGAGTAGAGGAGCTGAAGTAGCTTGGCCCAGCGTTTCATTATTTTCGCTTTCTTTCCTCTGCCAGATCTGATTCAGCTACATTGCACCCAACCCGGAATGATTTCTTTCCGTTTTACCTGGGGCAGCAGGAGCGTCAGGAGCGGCAGCAGCAGCGAAGGGAGGCAGAGGGGCGTCTGGGGAGCCATAGCACTCGCAGGACGCTTCTAGTTGAGGCTGCGGTCAGAGACTGTCACGTGGTGGATTCCTGGGAGGCAATCCTGTGAGCAGAGGGGGCGGAGACCACCTCCAGTGGCCAGGCCTTTAGCCTGGATTTTGTCTCCAGCTTGCGACCTCCTACTGTGTGACTATCGTATAGGGTCCTCCACAATTTGCCACTTAAAGTACAGTTTGTGAACCAGCTTCATCGGTGTCACTTAGAAACTTGTCAGAAGTGCAGTCTCGGGTCCTACCCCAGACCTAGAGAACCAGAATTTGTATTTTAGTAAGGCACCCAGGCCAGTCTGAGGAAGCACATTCAAGATTGTGCAGCAGTGCTGAGCTAGACTGAGTTTGGGATGGGGAGGGATTGCCTTGTCCATCTTGAATCCTCAGCTTCTAGCACAAAGAGTTCCAGTCTAGCACAAAGGGTCCCAGCACAATGCAGGGTTAAATCTAGATAAACAATATATACCAAAAAAAAAAAAAAACTATAAAAAGAATATTAGACATCCCCCCCCCCACACACACACACACCCCAGTTCAGAGTCAAAGGAAGTTGTAGGAAGTTCTTCTCTGGGATCTGGGGTATGAAAAGGAGAGGTGGGACTAGTTTACTAGAGGGATCTTTTTCCTAGAAAACCTGTTTCAGCAAAAAAGCCCATGTTGGTCATTCCATCTTTCTGGGGAGTGCACTCGTCTCCAGTCTACCTCTGTCTGCCTGGGTTAAAGACATCAAGGACAACTGCTTGGTGGGAAGGCTTAGGAATTTGTAAATTTCTATCACTTCTTACCTCACAGTTCCAAGGCTGGGATGTGAGGATCAGGGTCATAATAATTATTTCTGTTTACTACCACAGTGCATCAGATAATGTTCTAAACACTTTGAATCTTATTTAATCTTCAAACAACTGTGTGAGGTAATTACCATTCCCATTTTACAAATTCCCATTTTACAAATAAATGAAGTAGCCTGTCTAAGGTCATACAGCTAGTCTAGTATCTGGGATTTGAACTCGAGTCAGGCCTAATTGTCCATGCACTAACTCTTAGGTCTGCCTAATCTATCATCTGTCTACCTACAGTGAGGGAAAGGGATTTCTGAGAGAAAGTAACTTGCTCTGAGGCCACAGGCTAGTAGGCTAGTAAGAATCTAGTATGGCTCAAGAGCCTGAGGTCTTAACTACTGAGACCACAGTAGTGGGATCCAGGCTAGAGTCTAAAAGGTGGTAATGCGCCCAGCTCCAGAGGTCCAGGTCACCAGCACCCGCTCCTCCCTGCATTCCCCTAGGAACTGGACTTTATGGGTCACCCACAAGGCCTACTACCTCCGGCATTGGGAGATGGAGGTCCTGGGGGCCTACGGCCCGGCCGGCTTTGCTCCCTTTGGGCGCAGATGCTTGCTTGCGTCTTGACCCTAACTGAAGGCGGGATGGAGACCTTCCACCCGGGTCCTGGGACCCGTCCTCCCCAGGACTAACCCGCCCCCGGCCTCTCAGCTCTGCGCCCCCTCATCGCCCGCAAGCCCCTCGGTTGCTAGGAAACCGCGGCCGTTAGGCGGGCGCGAACTGATGACGTCTCCACTTCCGGTCCCTGGCGCTTCCCTTTCGTCTGAATCAGGTCAGTGGGGAGTCCGGGCCGACCCACTGCGGGCAATGGTTCTTCAGGCCGAGGGTGGTCTCCACAAAGGGTGGACTGGAGCCTCGCCCCTATCGCACCCCCGAACTACCTAGTGCCAGATGTTTGGGGCCCGACGGGCGGTGGGGGGCCGGGGCCGCCCTAAGTTGCGCTGGGCTTGGAAGAACCGGCCTAGTAGCCGCTGCGTGGCCTGAGGCTTTAAGACACCTGAGCCCAGCCTCCTCCCAGCGGGTGTCCCCAGGACACATTTTCTCTAGGTGGGCACCTAGGTGCTGAGACCTGAGCCTGAGAGTCCACTGGATCGTGCCAGACCCGCCACTGTGCCTTTCTTTTCTTTCCAGCATGATCCACCGGGTCTCCAGTACATCTGGAAAGGCGCAGTCATCCTGCACGAACCCTTTGGCAGCCCCAGACCGTCCTTGAGGACGATGACTGAGACACTATGGGCCACGCACTGTGTGTCTGCTCTCGGGGAACTGTCATCATGGACAATAAGCGCTATCTCTTCATCCAGAAACTGGGGGAGGGGTGAGTGTTTGGATTTCACTTAGTCTCCAGGGCTTTGGTGATTGAGGCACAACGGTTTATCCCTGTCCTCTTATCTTTCTGAGAGAGCATTGCTACTTTTAGCAATTAAAGAAAGTGGGTTCTGGAGCCAAACCTCCCAGAACCAGCTTGTGTGACTTTGATAAGCGATGGTTTCATCATCTACTTAGTGGAGATTTTTCATGCATCACTGATGGGACTGTGAGGATTAAATGAGATAATGCATGTAAAATGACTCCCTGGTGCTTGGTTCAGTGCTTTTGTTAAATATTGACTAATGATCTATTGAGGAAAATCTGTTTTGTGCAAAGCTCTGTATTTTGACCATAGGACCTCAAAGATAACTGTGTCCCAGCTCTTGGGCTCAAAGTGTAATGATCTTCAGACTGCTCTTAGAACTGCATCTGGGGAGGTTTCTGCTAAATAGGAAAGACACTCCCCCCTGCAGGAATTGCTCTGATGGCACGTGACCATGGTCCTTCACTGACCCCTTTGGCCCACAGTGGGTTCAGCTATGTGGACCTAGTGGAGGGGTTACATGATGGACACTTCTACGCCCTGAAGCGAATCCTATGTCACGAGCAGCAGGACCAGGAGGAGGCCAAACGAGAAGCAGACATGCATCGCCTCTTCCAGCACCCCAACATCCTTCACCTCGTGGCTTACTGTCTGAGGGAGCGAGGCACTAAGCATGAGGCTTGGCTTCTGCTACCCTTCTTCAAGGTCAGAAAGTCTCCTGGCTGTGGAAGGGGTTGCAACAGAGCCACAAACCAAGGACTCTGAACAGTTAAGCATGTTAGGAAGCGGGGGTGATGTCCTGGGTTTGGCCACTTCACATTTGGGATTTAGAGACCCAAGTGGGATGTGTGTGTGTTTGGTAAAAGGGATGACATTGGGAAGGGATCAGGCTCAGGTTGTAAAACTCAAAGAAAAAAAAAAAATCTCCAATGCAGGGAAATTTGTGTTGCAGAGAGGTACGCTGTGGAATGAGATAGAAAGGCTGAAGGACAAAGGCAATTTCTTGACTGAAGAACAAATCCTTCAGCTGCTGCTGGGCATCTGCAGAGGCCTTGAGGCCATTCATGCCAAGGGTTATGCCCACAGGTCAGTGGGAGGGCTCTGTGCCTTTGCTGGGGCAGAAGGGAAAAACCAAAAGGGAGAAGTGAGCAGTCTCTGCTCTCCTCCCAAGAAATAGCCCCCATGATCCTGTGGGATTGCAGCCTCCCAGACCAATACTCATGGAGCATTTCCACCTCCCTACAGGGACCTGAAGCCCACAAATATCTTGCTTGGAGATGAAGGGCAGCCGGTTTTAATGGACTTGGGTTCGATGAATCACGCGTGCATCCACGTGGAGGGCTCCCGCCAGGCCCTAGCCCTGCAGGTAGTCTCTGCAGTTCTTTGCCCGCCTGCTTCTCTTTCCCAGCCCCTTTTGGTGCCTGCCCCAATTTGGTTATATGACAGTTTTGTCATGAGTGAAGTCATACTCCCCATTTTTAAGCCACGGGGTCACTATTCTAGGACTGGGCAGCCCAGCGGTGCACCATCTCCTACCGGGCTCCGGAGCTCTTCTCTGTGCAGAGCCACTGTGTCATCGATGAGCGGACTGATGTCTGGGTGAGAAGCATGTGGAGGAAATCTGAGTGGGTGGGTGCTGCTGTCCCTGCTGTGGCGTAGAGGTCTTCGGCTTCTATTGCATGGGGCCCCTGGAACCATGCATGTCCCCGCCCCCATCGACTTCCTACCTAGGAAATGTCAGCAACACTGTACTCAGCTACTCAGGAAGTGGTATAATCCCGCCCTTTGAACAGGGTGGGTACAGCCAACTGTCAGAGCTGAAGGTAGAGGCTGCAAGGGGTGTAGAGGCCCCCAGCTAATTGGCAGTTTCTCTGGGGCCTGATGGCGCTGTGTGGCTACCATCAGCATGTTATTACCTTATGTAGTCCCCTCTTGTTTCAGAATTAAGGGAGAGATCACCTCCCGTGGTCCCTTTTCAAGGAGTAACCAAGTTCTGCTCAGTCCCTAGGCTGCGTGCTGTATGCCATGATGTTTGGGGAAGGCCCTTATGACATGGTGTTCCAGAAGGGTGACAGTGTGGCCCTTGCTGTGCAGAATCAACTCAGCATTCCACAAAGCCCCAGGTGAGCAGTAGAAGGGGCACCAGGCAGTCCAGACTCCTGATGTTAGTGGAGTTGAGGCCCTGTTCCAGGGCCAGTTCTCTTCCAGTCACTGTGCCCTCTTCCTTCCACAGGCATTCTTCAGCATTGCGGCAGCTACTGGCCTCGATGATGACTGTGGACCCCGAGCAACGCCCTCACATTCCTTTCCTCCTCAGTCAGTTGGAAGCACTACAACCCCCAAGTTGTAGCCACCCAGGCCAGCTTACTACCCAGATCTGAACAGACCAGTGGCCATGTTGAAGGTAGTCACAGTGCCCTGGGATGCGCCTCCTGCCTGGTAGCAACCTGTCTATTCTGTCCTCTTGTGATTGAGGACAGAGAGGTTGGATAGCCAGACTTCTTCCGTCTCTGCTTCTGCCCGCTCACCCCAAAGCATCAACTGGACAGAGCACCTGGCTGAGTCGGGGTGGGTGGAAGGGTGAATGAAGAGAGGGGAGCTGAGAGAATCTGGTAAGGGCTCTGAGTGGGACTGCTGAACTTACATCATGATTTGCCTCCAAATTTGGGAGCAGGAGAATGTATAAACAGAAGAATAAAGTGAGAGTAGCTTGGTGTGGATCTGCTTTTCATTGTTCCTGGATGAGAAGTACAAGGGACCCACAGTCTGGTTACTATTTTCAAGGGAACCGCTGGAGATAAGAGGCTGGGGGCAGCACAGTTGCATGCAAGGAGGCTGGTATCCTTCTAGATCTTCTGGCTGGTGGTGGGCGCTTCTAGCTTTTCTTTGTCAGAAGTTTAAAGCTGCTCTGACTTGAGCTGGTTTCTATCTGTCCAAGAATTGGAGCCAGGGCCCCCTAAAAGCACACTCGCTTGTTCCCTTCCTTCTTTCCCTGGGTTGTAGCTTAGTCAAAGCAGCCCAGCAGGTTTGCCAGGCAAGGGCTTCTGGGTGGAGACACCTAGGGAAGCTTTGGGACATCCACATAGCAAGTCTCCCAGCCTTAGCCTGGGGGCAAGGGGAGTGGATGTAGCCACCTTATGGGTCTTTAGCTTCTCCCAGATGGTTCTAGCTCACACACAGTTAATGATTAATGAGACCAGTGTGGTGTGGCAGTACCCAGCAGCCACTTCCTGCCTACTGTGCTGAGTAAACAGGGGCCCTACCTTTGCTGGGCTTGAAACCTGTTCCCCAGGGAAGGACACTGCGTCCCTGAATCACCAGGGAGGGGAAGCAATCAAGGGCAGGGTTGCCATCTCCTGCTTCTGAGGTTGAATGTCCCCCCTCCCCCCCCACCCGGCCCACCTTCACACACTGACGTCACCATGGGCCCTAGGGTGCCTATTAACAAAGTAGAAATTTTCCCCAGAGCCCTGGCAGAGGCTCCCACCAGCTAGCACGGAGGCTGAGGCCAGAAAGAAAGCACAAACAGAGGGGAGATGACCTGACTTTTAATGGCACAGCCCTCGGCCCCAGCAAAGCAGTAGGACAGACAGTAAGCTATGCAGTGACACAAAACAACTGTGGGGGCTTGCCCTCGTTCCCCCCCATCCCCCAAGCTTATGACTAGGCTCCATGCCCAGGAAGTCTGGGCCAGCTCAGTCCCACTCCCAAGCCCTCATAATGCACAGAGGTGCCTCGGCCAGGCCTTGTCTCCAGGCTGGTGAATGCAGCAGCAGCAGGCAGAAAGGCATAGCAGTCTGACTTCCAAATACACAAATTGCTGAACTTAAATGCCTACTTGGAAAGGAAGTGAAGACTTGTAGCTTTCAACGACTTGTGGTTGGGTGGACAAGTCCAGGTTCCCATTCTCATTTCCTCACTATCCCGGGCAAAACCTCCCACCCCTGCCAAGGCTGAACATCAAGGTCCCAGGGATCATGTTTCCTGGCCTGGCAAGGCCCTTGGCAGGTCCCAGCTTCAACCATGGAAGGAAAAAGGGTCATGAGCAGCAAATAGGGCGGCGGCAGCAGCAGCAGCATGAAGGAGGCAGCGAAAGCTCAAGCTCAAGCACTCACGGGGACAAGAAACCGTGCAAGGAGACTGTTTATTTCGAAAGAATTTTGCAATAAACATATGAGTAGGCTCCAGGCAGCTGTTCTATTCTTCTCCCTCATCCTCATCCTCATAGGAGTCGATGCCTACCTCCTCATAATCCTTCTCCAGGGCGGCCATATCCTCCCGGGCCTCAGAGAACTCGCCCTCCTCCATGCCCTCCCCCACGTACCAGTGCACAAACGCCCTCTTGGCGTACATCAGGTCGAACTTGTGGTCCAGGCGGGCCCAGGCCTCGGCGATGGCGGTGGTGTTGCTCAGCATGCACACGGCCCGCTGCACCTTGGCCAGGTCGCCCCCGGGCACCACGGTGGGGGGCTGGTAGTTGATGCCGACTTTGAAACCCGTGGGGCACCAGTCCACGAACTGAATACTACGCTTGGTCTTGATGGCCGCGATGGCGGCGTTGACATCCTTGGGCACCACGTCTCCGCGGTACAGCAGGCAGCAGGCCATGTACTTGCCGTGGCGGGGGTCGCACTTCACCATCTGGTTGGCCGGCTCGAAGCAGGCGTTGGTGATCTCCGCCACCGACAGCTGCTCGTGATAGGCCTTCTCTGCAGAGATGACGGGGGCATAGGTGGCCAGGGGGAAGTGGATGCGAGGGTAGGGCACCAGGTTGGTCTGGAACTCAGTCAGGTCCACGTTGAGGGCCCCGTCGAAGCGCAGGGAAGCTGTGATGGACGAGACGATCTGGCTGATGAGGCGGTTGAGGTTGGTGTAGGTCGGGCGCTCGATGTCCAGGTTGCGGCGGCAGATGTCATAGATGGCCTCGTTGTCCACCATGAAGGCGCAGTCTGAGTGCTCCAGGGTGGTGTGCGTGGTCAGGATGGAGTTGTAGGGCTCCACCACGGCTGTGGACACCTGGGGGGCTGGGTAGATGGAGAACTCCAGCTTGGACTTCTTGCCATAGTCAACAGAGAGCCGCTCCATGAGGAGCGAGGTGAAGCCAGAGCCGGTGCCTCCCCCAAAGCTGTGGAAGACCAGGAAGCCCTGGAGCCCTGTGCACTGGTCAGACTGAAAGGCAAGAGAAAGAGAGAGAACAATGTAGGTGGAGGAAGGGCCTGCTGGTTCTGCAGGGAAAGGTTTGTAAGCATGGCAATGTAGCCGCTCACTCTGGAATATGCACCATTAATGATCAACACCTGAAACAGATCTGGAAAAGAGATCCCCAACCATTAGCCTGGTTTCAGAAGCTCCCTCCCTTCCACGCCACACCCTCACCAGCTTGCGGATCCGGTCCAGTACTGGGTCGATGATCTCTTTGCCGATGGTATAATGACCACGGGCATAGTTGTTAGCTGCATCCTCTTTCCCAGTGATGAGCTGCTCCGGGTGGAAGAGCTGCCTATACGGCCCATTTCGGATCTCATCTGGAAGGGCGTAAACCACATTATTAGGGGACAAACCACAAGGCGGCTTACCAGGGACCTCCCTCCAGCTTGGTAGCTGCGGTCAGACGTTTGGAAGTGCTCATCCTTCTGCCAGACTGAGATACCAGTGTGTGGGAGAAACCCAAGCCTGCTGCCCAGCCCAGCATGTGATCCACTTGCTTCCTTTAGCTGAGGAGTTTTTGGGGTAAGGAGAGCCAGGCCTAAATGATACCCTTTCTCCAGGAAAGTTTAGAATCACCCTCTGCTCCTCTCAATTCCACTTCCAATTCCTCTTACCAATCACGGTGGGCTCCAGATCCACAAACACTGCCCGGGGCACATGCTTGCCAGCACCAGTTTCACAGAAGAAGGTAGTGAAGGAGTCGTCCCCTCCACCAATGGTCTTGTCACTGGGCATCTGCCCATCTGGCTGAATCCCGTGTTCCAGGCAATAGAGCTCCCAGCAGGCATTGCCCATCTGGACACCTGCCTGCCCAACATGGACGGAGATGCATTCACGCTAAGGGATAAAGAGAGAGGGCACAGCATAAGTCTCACGCCACGAATCCTCACCTCACAGCCTCTGCTGTCTAACCTTCCAGCTCACGTGACTCAGTAGGCAAAAGCAGAGGCTGGGGGCTGGGCAGAGGTCAGAAGAGGTAGACTCCTCTGCAAAGAGCTTCCCAACTTCCAAGGCACCCAGTTGAGCAGGTCAACCCCTTAGTTTAATTCTAAGTAGGGAAACTTGTCAATAAAAGTTGCGGCTGTACATGACTCTGCCATTCATAGGCCACTCAGGAGGACAGAGGGCAAACGCATGTGAGACAGACAGACACTGCAGTAACCCAGACAAGGGCAAACGACTTTACAGCTGTTCTGGATCCCTACACCCACAGATCCAGCTTTTGAAGCGCCTGAGAAAGCACAGAAGGTTTGAAGCTGTACATTTATAGCTAGGGGCTCCCCACATGATTAACTCTTTGCTTCAAGGATGAATAACTAGAATTTCTCCCCCTTTCTTCCTGTGGGCTGCAGAGAGACCTCAGCCTGCTAACCTGACAATAACTGACCACAATGACCATCAGGATGCCCTCTCCCCCACCTTTAAATCCCATCTGGCTCTGAGGATCAGTCCCATCTGGCTCCTCTCCCCACCTCCACCCCCACTCTCTGGGAGTCTTCAGCACCACGTCAGCCCTCCGAAATAGCAGTAAGGGCAGACCTGAGTGCGGGCAACAAGGGTTGTGGGCTTGGGGGCCTCGCTGCCTTAGGCTTATTCCTGACCGTCTGAAATTAACCACTGAAGCGCCAAAGTGGTGCGGCACAGGACGGGTAGGGCTTCGACTTTCAACAGTGAAATGGCGGGGTGACTTTACAAATACCCAGGAAAGGAAGCGGAACCTGCTGTGAGGCCCCAGAGGTAACACCTGCCTTGCCGTGCTGCGGGCAGGGTGAACGCCATCCAGCACCCAGGCCCGGCATTCTCCTCCCAGACTCGTTCCAGTTACATCCCAGTCGAAAGCCAGGATTGGATTTCGGCCCCCGTTTCTGAGCTATAAATATCACCCCCCTACACACACCTCTCTCCCTCCCCCCAACCTGGCCTCGGCCCCAGGCTCTTGCTCCACGCCAGCTGTCTCTGCCCATCCCCGGACCGGACCCGGGGGTTCTGGCTTTAGAGGGGCCGGTTTGTCTCCTGAGGCCAAACCTCTTTCCCGCCTTCCCTCCTGGCTCAGAAGCGGGGTGCTGAGTCACGGAGGGGGGGGTACGAGTGAAGGGATGCCTACAAGTCGGAAGAAAAGGGGATGCTGGACCAAGTAATCTGACCCCCTTCCCTCTCCTAGTGCCTAGCAAGAGTTCGGTCAGTTCTAGGGAACGGGAGTGGGGGCGGGCGGGGGGGGGGGTGGGGAGGGGCGGGGGTGGAGGGCAGCCAAGCGGGTCTTCCCCCGTTCGCGGAAAGGGCTGGAAGCAGGACCGCGTGACTCCCCTCGGGAAGGTTAGGGTACATATGTTTGGTGGAGCAGGAGGGAATTTTCAGGAGGACGCCTGCCTGCTGGTGAAGAAGCCTGCTCCGCTCCACCCCCATCCCCCGTCTCCAAAAGTGGAGAACATTGCTGGGCCAAAGTCGCCAGGAGGGGGTGGGGTGGGGGTAGCGCACCCTCTTGCACCCCCTGGAGTCCTAGAACGCCGGGTGG